CTATAGTCCCAGCTACACGGGAGGCTTGGGCAGGAGAATCGCTTGAACCCGGGAGGTGAAGACTGAAGTGAGCCGAGATTATGCCACAGCACTCCAATGTGGGCGACAGAGGGAGACTCTGTCTCAAAAAAAAAAAAAAAAGTATTTTGGGTTGGGCATGGTGACTCACGCCTGTAATCCCAGCAATTTTGGTGGCTGAGGTGGGAGGATCACTGGAGCCCAGATGTTTGAGACCAGCTTAGGCAACACAGGGAGATCTTGTCTCTACAAAAAAATAGAGGAAATTAGCCAGGTATGGTGGTATGTGCCTGTAGTTCCAGCTATTCCAGAGGCTGAGGTGGGAGGACTGCTTGAGCCTAGTAGGTCAAGGCTGCAGTGAGCCGTGATCATGCCATTGCACTCCAGCCTGGGCAACAGAGCAAGACTTGGTCTCAAAAAAAAAAAAAAAAAAAAAAAAAGAATATGTATTTTGTACTGTGAGTCACCTTCAAAAAATTTGAGAGCCACTGAAGTAGAAAATGATTTTTAAAAATTCTTTTAAAAATAGGGGATGCGTGCTGTGGCTCACTCTTGTAATTCTGGTGCTTTGGGAGGTGAAATGGGAGGATCACTTGAGCCCAGGAGTTTGAGAACAACCTGGACAACAAAGTGAGATCTCTTCTCAATCAATCAATAAAAAATTACTGAGTATGATTTTACCATCTGCTGCTAAAGTGATGAATTCTATAATTATGCCTATAAGCTTTCTCTTCCTTTTTAATATTATCCTTACCCACAGAATGCCTGAAAACTTACTCACAATCTGGTCTACTCCACTTAGTTCTCTGGTGCCAATCAGTGAAGGTATTCAATGTGCACCGGAATTTTTAACCACCAGCTGTTCAATCACTCTGCTCCGTCAGCATTCCCAGGTCTACAGCACTCTCCCTAAAAACTACTTATGAATTCCTCAGGTAATGGGTTTTCTCTGGAAAATACTGTAAATGTTTTTTTCTCTGGCAAATACCTATCTGTTAACTGCCAACTCAATGGAATCTAAAAAAGTACTCTGTCCTCCACTCCCTTGCTATTTCCTCTCCTTCTGCTCGGGGTAATTACTACTTTCTTAGAGAATGAATTCCCTTCTCATATTTTCCATTTTCCAAATTATTTTAAATAGAACTGACTATAGCTTTAAAAAATTGTACAGAAAAAGAGCTTACATAGAACTTACATAGAGTTTAAAGAATCCCGATTAGTGGTGTTAAAACCAGAAGGGTCTTGCGACTTTTTGGCAGCGCAGTTTCCACAACCTCTTGGGGTAGGATAATTAGTATAAATTACTCTCCCTCTTAAAATCTACAGTCAAAAATAAGGCTGGGCCGGGCGCAGTGGCTCACGCTTGTAATCCCAGCACTTTGGGAGGTCGAGGTGGGTAGATCACTTGAGGTCAGGAGTCCAAGACCAGCCTGGCCAACATGGTGAAACCCCTCTTTACTAAAAATACAAAAATTAGTCAGGTGTAGAGGCACAGGCCTTTAACCCCAGCTACTTGGGAGGCTGAGGCACAAGAATCACTTGAACCCAGGAGGCCGAGTTTGCAGTGAGCCAAGATCCTGCTACTGCATTCCAGCTGGGGCCACAGAGCAAGGTTCTGTCTCAAAAAAGAAAAAAATGGTGGTTAAGCAAGCTTTTTTTACATCTCCGAACACTATTTGCCTAGACATATTTGTAGTTAAAAAATGGATAAATCAACACATCTTTCAAACCTTTTTTCCTCTTCAAAATTACAACTTAGGCTGGTCTGAAGATAGTAAGTTATCTCAATTTACTTTCACAATCAGTTACAGATCAAACTCTTTGTTCTACTCTTTTCCCCCTTCTCACTACTGCACTTGACTAGTCTAAAAAATTACAACTTAGTGTTAACTACACTAAAAATTTAAAACACAGTATTGGAACAATGTACAAGACTACGTTAAACTTTTTTTAATGAAGCAAAATGGCTTAATGGAAAAAGCACTGATTTCAATGCCAGGTGAACCTAGATTCACATCCCAGCCATGCTACTGACTAGCTTGTGACCACGGTCAAATTACTTCTCTCTGAGCCTCTGGCTGGTTCCATTTACCCATCTATTGGAAGTAATTTTGAGAATTAAATGAAAAGTAGAGCCCCACTGCGCACAGCACACACAAAACTAATTTACTTTTCTGCCCAGACCACATTCCTATCAGTAACAGCTACAATGAGGCCATAAAAGTATAACAGTAATTTCAACTGAAGACAGACTGAGTGAGAGAGAGTATAGAGAGAGGTGAAGGGATGTGAAGACCTTCAAAGGATGGGTTTTTAGTTTGATTTTCTCTTTGAGGGGAGAAGAGGGGAAGGAAGGAATGCACTGAATGTATGTTTGTTTAAACACCTAGTAATCTGAAATATTTGCCCAAATAGCTTGTGTCTCTTTATGAATTACTAAATTAGGGAGTTGTTTTAAGAAACCACATAGGCCGAGCACAGTGGCTCATGCCTGTAATCCCAGCACTTCAGGAGGCTGAGGCAGGCGGATCACCTAAGGTCAGGAGTTCGAGACCAGCCTGGCCATCATGGTGAAACCCTGTCTCTACTAAAAACACAAAAATTAGCCGGCATGGTGGCACGCACCTGTAATCCCAGTTACTCAGGAGGCTGAGGCATGAGAACCGCTTAAGCCTGGGAGGCAGAGGTTTGCAGTGACCCGAGATCATGCCACTGCACTCCAGCTTGAGTGACAAGTCAAGAGACTGCTCAAAAAAAAGGAATAAAAATGTCAGGAAATAGTATGTAACTACAACTTACACTGTATGATAGCATCCCTGGGTTTCAAATATTTAGAACTATATATACACAGTGTCCTTTTAATTAATAAGAGACATATATAATGTCTTTTAAATTAACATAAACAGATTTTATATTGTAATTGCAATTTCATATTAATTAAATACCTAATGGCAGGGTGTGGTGGTGTGTACCTGTAGTCCCCGCTACTCAGGAGGCTCAGGCAGGAGGACTGCTTGAACCCAAAAGTTCAAGGCAAGTCTGGACAACACAGAGATACCTCATCTTTACCAAAAAAAACAAAAACAAAAACAAAAAATAAAACTTAGCCAGGTGTGGTGGCACCTGTAGTCCCAGCTACTCAGGAGGCTGAGGCAGGAGGATCGCTTAAGGCCAGGAGGTCGAGATTGCAGTGAGCCATGACTGTGCCACTGCACTCCAGCCTGGCAGACAGAGTGAGACCCTATCTCAAAGGAAAAAGAAGTACACTCAAAAAAGTCTTCATGCTACCTTATATACCTAGATATGTTCCTCAGCAGGCAAAACTTTCAAATCCCTAAGTCCCTGCTCAGCTGGTCTCTAAACTTAAAAGGCTTTCAGGCCGGGCGCCATGGCTCACACCTAAAATCCCAGTACTATTGTGAGGCCCAGGTGGGCAGATCACTTGAGCCCAGGAGTTGCAGACCAGCCTGGGTAACATGGTGAAACTCATCTCTACAAAAAATACAAAAATTTGGCCGGGCATGATGGCTCACACCTGTAATCCCAGCACCTTGGATGCCAAGGAGGGCGGATGGTAAGAAGTCAAGAGTTCAAGACCAGCCTGACCAACATGGCAAAACCCCATCTTTACTAAAAATACAAAAAAAAATTAGCTGGGAGTGGTGGCGCCACCTGTAATCCCAGCTACTCAGGTGGCTGAGGGACAAGAATCGCCTGAACCCAAGAGGCGGAGGTTGCAGTGAGCCAAGATCTCACCACTGCACTCCAGCCTGGTGACAGACAGAGTGAGGCTCCGCCTCAGAAAAATAAATAAATAAATAAAATTTTAAAATATATAAATAAATTAGCCGGGCGTGGTGGTATGTGCCTGTAGTCCTAGCTACTCAAGAGGCTGAGGCAGGAGGATCGTTTGAGCCGAGGGGGGTCGAGGTTGAAGTGAGCTGTGTGAGCAATACACAGAAAAAGGAGACTTTGGCAGGGCGGTCTGATGTGGAGCACTGCAGTTAGTTTCTTAAAGGCTTCAAGATAAGCAGGTCTACAAATCTTGCATACATATGCAAACACTTTGGAATGAAAGCACTTACAAATATAATATACATTTTTCCCCTTTTCCTCAAGCAAATGAAAATCACTAATTACTAAAGGGTCTCCAAAAAGCACATGGGATATCAGTAAGTCTCCAATGGAAATATAGCACTTCCCCCAAAACAAAGAAATTACAGCTAAATAAGGAGTTTAAAAAATGTTTTCTCATTTGTACCTTTTCTTGAAGCTGACACTTTCTTCAGTTTTCTGATGGCAGCACCAGACCAACACCCTTATTGCCCCTGACCTGCGCCTCACTCTAGTCTCCCATTCCCTTCCTTCTCAAGCACTGCTGCCGACTCTCCACTGTGTCCCTTTAAGCTCCTCCCCGGCAAAACCCCTTAGCAACTGCCTGAAACATCAGCGTTCCTCTCGCGGTCCAGATCTCCCAGCCACGCGACAACCGAAAACCCCCTCCTCCAGCCTCGCCCATCCGGGGCTCGCACCCCGCGTCCCTTTCCCTCCCCTCCGCAGTCTCGACACTTCCCTCAGTCACCCGCAGCGACTGGCGCTCGCCCCGCACCTAGCACCCCGTTTTTCCACTGAGCCTCCTCTCACTGCACCTACGGACCCCGCCTCTCCACCTCGCTCCCCCTCACCGCTGGGCCTCCCCGGCCGAACCCACTGGCCCGCGCCAGCCCGGCCGAGCCCAGCCCGGCCCAGCCCGGCCCAGCCCGGCCCGCTAGGCCACGACACAGGCCACGAGGGCTCTGCCGCCCCTTCTCCTCACCGTGTCGACCCCGGAGTCCTCTTCTCCGGCCCCCGCCGCTTCCTTGCCGATCGCAGCCCCCAGCCCAGCGTCTGGGCAGCCCAGCGGCTCCAGAGGCGCCGGCTGGAGCTGCCGCTCGGGGTCCCGAGGTGCTTGCTCCATGGCTGCAGTTCGGCGCGGCGAACCCAGTGCGCCTGCGCCGCCTCCGCGCCCGCGGCCAACCAGTCTCTCCGCTTGCGATGCCCGCCCCTCCGCTAGCCAACGCCTCGTCCCTGCTGGTAGACCTGGAGGGCTCGGGGAGCCGCAGCTGGAGGCGGAGCCGGGGGTGGGAGGACACGCAAGCCTGCGGAGGACCTGGTCAGCTGCTAAGCCAGGAGACCCAGAGAGCTGAGAGAGCTAGTGAAGAGAGAGACAAAGAGAAAGGCAAGGGGAAAGTGAACACCTGAAGTAGGTACGGCGATCCTAAAGCCAACGAAACTCAAAAGAAATTGGAGGCGTAGTCTGACCTACTCCCTCTGGGCCTCTGCCTTGCCTGTTATTATTGAGTCTGTTCTCCCGGAAAGATCAGAGCTCCATAAATTATTAACTTTCAGCAGGCTGAGTAACACATTCAGCAAAAGGTAATACTTGCGAGTTCTTGGTTTTTTGTTTGTTTGTTTTGTTTTTTCCTGAGACGGAGTTTCCCTCTTGTTGCCCAGGCTGGAGTGCAGTGGCGCGATCTCAGCTCACTAACCTCCGCCTCCCGGGTTCAAACGATTCTCCTGCCTCAGCCTCCGGAGTAGCTGGGATTACGGGCGGCTGCCACCACGCCCGGCTTTATTTATTTATTTATTTATTTATTTATTTATTGTATTTTTAGTAGAGACGGGGTTTCACCATATTGGCCAGTCTGGTCTCCAACTCCTGAGCTCGTGATCCGCTCGCCTCGAACTCCCAAAGTGCTGGGATTACAGGCGTGAGCCACCGTGCCTGGCCTTTCAAGGTTTTGAGGAAAGTGAAGCGACCTGTTGAAGCAAGGCTTGAGTTCTATTGTGTTTCATGAAGCCCTGGAGACCTCTGATAATTTTCTACAAACATCCCTTTTTAAAATTTTTCAAACCTGCTTCCTTGATAAGCTTTCACCATGGCAACCTGATGGGAAATGCTCACTGGTGGTAACAGACTGTGGTACCTTAAAGTACTTTCTGTACAAAGTCTGCTCTCAATTTTTCAAGTACAGAAACATTTTCTGCCCACTTAGTTATTTCAAGCTGGGTAACATGGTGACAATTTGTCACCACGAGAGAAAATTGTGACAAAACACACAATTTTCTCTTCCTGGAATTCCTTCTCTGTCCTGGGAGCAAATTTCCATTCATTCCTAAAACCTCAGCTCAGTTATCATCTTCAAGTGTTAAGTTGTTCATAAATCTGTTACGGGCTGGGCGCGGTGGCTCACGCCTGTAATCCCAACACTTTGGGAGGCCAAGGCCGGCGGATCGCCTGAGGTCAGGAGTTTGAGACCAGCCTGGCCAACATGGTGAAACGCTATCTTTACTAAAAATACAAAAATTAGTCAGGCGTGGTGGCGGGCGCCTGTAACCCCAGCTACTCAGGAGGCAGAGACAGGAGAATCACTTGAACCCGGGAAGCGAAGGTTGATCTCAGTGAACCCAGATCGTGCCTCCGCACTGCAGCCTGGGCAACAGAGCAAAACTCCGTCTCAAAAAAAAAAAAAAACAGATTTTAAAATCGGCAAAATGGATCCGATCCCCTATTTTATGTGCACATAATACATGTTTATTGTGGGGAAATTAGAAAAGTTGGGCATTAAAAAATAAGAGCCACAAATTAAGCATATCATGAGAAAAAAAGAAAAATAATAAAATAAAAAATGGTTCTTGGCCGGGAGTGGCGGCTCAGGCCTGTAATCCCAGCACTTTGGGAGGCCCAGGCCGGCAGATCACTGTAGACCAAGAGTTCGAGACCAGCCTGGACAATATGGTGAACCCCGCCTCTACTAAAATACAAAAAAATTAGCCGAGCATGGTGGTGTGTGCCTGTGGTCCCAGCTGCTTAGGAGGCTGAGACGGAGAATCGCTTGAACTGGGAGGCGGGAGGTTGCAGTGAGCTGAGGTCCTGCTCTCCAGCCTGAGCACAGAGTGAGACTCTGTCTCAAAAAAAAAAGGCCCGGCGCGGTTGCCCACGCCTGTAATCCCAACACTTTGGGAGGCCAAGGTGAGCAGATCACCTGAGGTCAGGAGTTTGAGACCAGCCTGGCCAACATGGTGAAACTCCGTCTCTACTAAAAATACAAAAATTAGCTGCACGTGGTGGCATGCACCTGTAATCCCAGCTACTCTGGAGGCTGAGGCAGGAGAATCACTTGAACCCGGAAGGCCAAGGTTGCAGTGAGCTGAGATCATGCCACTGCACTCTAGCCTGGGTGACAGAGCAAGACTCCATCTCAAAAAATAAATAAAAATAATAAATGGTTTTTTTGGCCGGGTGCGGTAGCTCATACCTGTAATCCCAGCCCTTTTGAAGGCCAAGACAGGCAGATTGCTTGAGGTCAAGAGTTCCTAACAGGCCACAGACTGGTACCAGCCCACAGGGTTGGGAACCCCTGCACTAGATAATATGCCGTACTCTTGGGGCTGCCTATAGGCTAACAAATTCATTTTGATAAAGAGCAACTAGTGGTTATGTAAAAAGCCTGGGGTGGGAGGGGAGCTGGCATTTTGAATTTTTTTAATGGGTCCACGTTTTGGACACCCTGCCCAATGGCCAGAATCATGATAGCTGCAGTTTTTTATGTGATTGGCACTTTACACATTAATACTTTTTCATGCAGTGCCCCTCCCTGCAAGACAGGCATTACACAAGCTGGGCGTGGTGACATGTGCCTGTAGTCCCAACTACTCAGTAGGCCGAGGTGGGAAGATCACTTGAGTCCAGGAGTTTGAGGCTGCAGTGATCCATGATAGGACCACTGCACTTCAGCCTAGAGAACAGAATGAGACTGACGCTTATTCCCAGCACTTTGGAAAGCCGAAGTGATAGCTTGAGCCCAGGAGTTTGAGACCAGGCTGGGCAACATAGTCGGACCATGTCTCTACAAGAGATACAAAAATTAGCCAGGTGTGGTGGCATGCACCTGTAGTCCCAGCTACTTGGGAGGCTAAAGTGGGAGGATCCCTTGAGCCCAGGAGGTCAAGGCTACAGTGAGCAGAGACTGTGCCACTGCACCCCAGCCTGGGTGACAGAGAGAGACTCTGTCTCAAAAAAAAAAAAAAAAAAAAAGTCATTATTTTCCCCATTTCACAGATGAAGTAGCCTCAGTAATATTTGACAAAGTCACACAGCCATTAAATAAAGGAAAGAGACTCAGACCTAGATTTGTAGGACATCCAGAACCCAAGTTCTTGGGCCATGCTGCTTCTCTTCGTGGGGGAGAGGAAGAAGAGAGGTTCTTCTAGGAAAGATGCAAATAATTGGCAGAAATTGAGAATTGACTCCTTACGTGAACACACACAAAGAGAAGCAGGTTTCCTTGGCATATGAAGGCAAAGTCACACCTGTGTGCTGAGGTCTGGGAAAGCCCAAGGCTAACTCCATGAAGATTATGGAAATAGATGTTCCCCCTTCTTCTGACTCTGGAAGGGAAGGGATTTCCCCTCACAGACCGCAATGGGGGAGAGCCTGCAGTGACCTGCTCTGGAGTGAATGGGGAAGCCTCAGGAGCAGGAGTGACTAGCCAGGCAGAAGGCACTTCAGCCCTTGCATATCAACAGCATGTTTTAGATTTCAATTTGTCGTTAATTTAACATTTATTGAGCTCCCGTGTTAGCCTGGGAACACCAAGAAATATTCATTCTCTGGTCCCCATCATCCAGGTTCTGTTCTCCCTCTTCCCAGGATTTTCCTCCTGGTGTCTGGTCAGCCTCCCAGGGACTGTGACAGTCACTTTTGTCTCCTTCCTCTGAAACTATCCCCTTCTTCTCAGCGGGAACCAAACCCAAACCCCACCCCATTTCTCCTTTCAGTGTCAGTGTGGATGACATTTGCCCTTGGTCACAGCACTAGATCTTTCTTCCCACCCTCCTATCAGTACCACCATATTCTTTTGGAGCAAATTCCTCATTGTGTGAGGACTTGTGTGGGGAGCAATTTTTAATATGTTCCTCTATTGTAGCCTCCCGTCACAGGAGTTGAGGAGCTCAGATCCTTCTTGTACCACCTCTGGGAAGATTATTTCAACTCACCAACTCAGACCCTTAAACTCCCAAGATTTTGAATCTTGGATCAGAGGGATGGCTGGAGGTTGAGCCTGTGGCAATGCTAGGGTCAGGTTTTTGCCAAGTCGAATTTCTTGTGTGTTCTGTGCCAAGTGTCTGGAGCTACCGTGATTCTGCAACTTTCCAGAGAATCACCAGCCTTAATTCTGTGAATTCCTGTCCTATTTCTCTATTTGCTTCATATGACTAGAGTTCATCTTTGTTCTTTGTTCTTTTTTCTGAAGAGACAGGCTCTCATTCTGCCACCCAGGCTCAAGTGCAGTGCCATGAACACAGCTCACTGCAGCCTCGACCTCCTGGGTTCAAGCTGTCCTTCCACCTCAGCCTCCCATGTAGCTGGGATTATAGGCCCATGCCACCATGTGCAGCTAATTTTTTTTTTTTTTTTTTTTTGGAGAAATGAGGTTCTACTATGTTTCCCAGACTAGTCTTGAACTCCTGGGCTGAAGGGATCCTCCCACCTCGACTTCCCAAAGTCCTGGGATTACAGGCATGAGCCACCACGCCTGGCCCTGGTCTCTGTTCTATGCAACATGCAGCTGTAACTGCTGCAGTGAAGCACTTATCTACTCAACTAAACATGCAGTAAATATTTATGAAACATCTACTCTGTCCCTGGCAGTCTCGGTGTCAGCCTAGGTGATTATCCAGACTGATTCATGGTTCTATGCTCTTGGAGAAGACTGGAATATATACCCAGCATCAGAAAAACCATATCCTTAACCCCTATTGCTTGAGAAACTCCCCAAAGCACTACAGCAAGCCAGCTACTAGAATCTTCAACAGCTAGAAACCATGGAAGCCACTACAAGGTAGAAATTTTTCTTGTCGGATAGATAACTTAAATACACTTTGATAGAGACCTTCTGAGGCAAATAGTCACTTACAGCTAAGAAATTTAAACCAGACAGGTTGGGAGGAAGCACAGGTTGGCCAAAGTACTTCTGGACAAGTGAGTCTTGTGGCACCTCTCAACTAATATTGTGCATATGAATAATAACAGCTTACCTGTAAGGCTGTTTCAGAAACTCAGAAGAGCCTGGCCACTTGTTTCTCACCTCCCACCAGCAACCTCCCACTCAACTCTGGGCCCCAGACACATGAAGCACAAGTCTCAGGGAACCATCGCCACATTGTGGAGATCCCAAGGGAGCCCATAACCACCTCTTGCATACAACTGCCCACCATACCCAGCGTGAGAAAGGGATGTGGTCTTGCCTTAATCTGTTAAAACTGCACATGTCCGAGGCAGGCGGATCACCTGAGGTCAGGAGTTTGAGACCAGCCTGGCCAACATGGTGGAAACCCATCTCTACTTAAAAATACAAAAAAATTAGCCAGGC